ATTCCTGACCATCCCGCAGATGCTGCTGAGCTGGAGCCCTACATGATCACTCGGCTCCGTCCTAAGAACAGCGACAAAGAGGCCCATCCCCAGGAAAAGGTAGGAAGGAAAAGCATCGTGCCACCCTCTCCTCAGTCGGTGCCTGACGCCAGAGCAAGGCAGAGAGACTGGTCCCTCAAGGGTGGTCCCAGGGCCAGCCCTGACGTTTGGAAGAGGGGCGGGGGGCAGATGTGCCATGAAGGCGCTGCACGCCACACCCCGAGTCAGCCTGCAGCCTTCAGGTGCAGTGGGGGATCCAGGGCCGGGTCCCGTCATCAGCGCCTGCTCTCGGTCCGGCACTTCTTGTGCATGGACAGGAAGGGGCACCATCTAATTCATCCCGTGGGGCAGTGAGGCACGAAGGGCCAGCCCTCAGCAGCCCAGCCCCCTTCTCTGCTTTCTCTGCTTTCCATTAAAAGAAGCCAGCACTCCAGCCCCTTTGCTTACGGTGTTGAGAAGGAGGGGGCATCCTGGCCTTGCTCAGTGGGGAGCAACACAGACTCTGTGAGCCGAGACCTGATGAGAGATGATGAGGGCAAAGGCTTCTGGGCTGGCCATCAGTGCGCAGCAGGGAGGCGATCCACTCCGTTCCATTCAGGAGGGAGCCACTCTCATTCAAGGCACTGAGTTCGGAGGACGCGGCCACGCACTTTCTGCCGGCCTGTGCTGACTGGCAGGGCTCCGGCTGTCCCCGCGGCCCCACGCCCTTCACCACGTCTAGCTCAGCCCTGGCCAGTTTGGGACAGGGACGCTGCCCCGGGGGCAGCTGGAAAAGCAGTGCCTGGGTGCCAGCGCTCAGTCTCACGCGCCTGCTTTCTGTTGCAGGCTTTGGAGAAGAGGGAGGAGGTTTCCTATGCCACACTGGTCCTTTCGGAGCAGGGGGAGCAGGCCCTCTACGACAACATTGCTCCCCACGGCCATGCCCTCCCACAGCCCCCAGCGCAGGAGGCCATCTACGCCAAAGTGATGAAGTAGCCTGAGCATTGGCAGAGGGGGAACCTCCAGACTCTTTTCCCAGAATCCCCTTTCCTCTGAAGGAGCAGTGGGCAGCACGGTGGAGCTCAGCCCCTGTTCAGCTTGGGCACAGCCGCCTGCCGCTGATCTGAGAGCAAAAGCAACAGGCCTCCACATCAGGACCAGAGGAAACGGCACCTGTGGGGGGGGGGGGGGGTCCATTCCATACCGTTGGGCTAGGAAGGGGGCTGGGGACAGTGTATCCTAATGTGAAGTCTTTTTGCCAGTATTGTTCAATCTGGATCTTAAATGCATTTCAGCATTTTAGCATTCTCGTGCTAAAAGCAAGCATATTTTCGGTTCTTATGACTTGGGAGCTAAGTTTGAAAAGAGGAACCTTGCAAACGCACCAAGAGCTTTGAGCCGTTTCAGTAGTGTCACGTACGTGAACCTTGTACAGCAATTCCCCAAGCTGTGGTTTTTAGTTTCTGTCCTCGCACGTCCAGGGCCAACTGCACTAGGGTGGGGTTGCAATGCCTGGCTTGTCACATGATCCAAACCACAACCCCTCCAGTGTTTGCACCAGGTGCTGGGCGATCGAGGCAGACCAGAGATTCGGTTGGTGTACTGTGCACCCTTCTCCCTCCCTGTGCTGATGGAGATCGTCTCAGACGTGGTGTCGAGGACCCCCAGGATGTTGGTCCTGGGGGACTTCAATCTCCATGCTGAGCCTGGTTTGTCCAGGGCAGCTCAGGACTTCATGGCTCCCATGACAGCCATGGGGCTGTCTCACCGTGTCACTGGCCCAACGCATGAAACAGGCCACATTCTGAACCTGGTTTTCTCGACGGGCCGGGAAGAGGGTGGCCTGGAAGTGAGGGGTTTGACCCCAACCCCTTTGTCATCGTCAGATCACTTTGTCTTGAGGCTCGAGCGCCATTCCCCCTCCGTAAGGGTGTGGGCCCTATTAAGATGGTCCCCCCCTCCCCGAGCCTTATGGATCCAGATGGATTCCTGAGGGCTCTGGGGGATTTCCCGATTGATAGAGTGGGCGCTCCTGCTGACGCCCTGGTCGGTTTGTGGAATGGGGCAATGACCAGGGCAACTGACACGATCGCCCCGAAGCGCCCTCTCCCGCCGGGCAGAGCCCACTCTGTGCCACGGCATGCGCCTGAACTGCGGGTGAGGAAGCAAATTGGGAGGTGGCTTGAGTGCACGTGGAGGAAATCCCAAGACGGATCTGATTGAACACACTTAGGAGCGCATTATCAATCCTATGCTGAGGCGGTGAGGGCGGCAAAGAAGAAATTCTTCGCCACTTTCATTGCCTCCTCCCAGTGCCGCCCAGTGGAGCTCTTTTGGATGGTGTGGGGCCTATTGCATCCTGGCCCCAGAAAAGACCCAATTGCACCATCGGCAGCCCACTTTAGGGATAAAATGGCTCAGATTTGCCACAAGTTGGACTCCACGGTTGATTCAGCCTTGGTTCAGGAGGCATCCAGAGCGCCATCGGGTCCACTTTTATTGGACAGGTTTCAGTTGTTGCAGCCTGAGGATGTGGACAAGGTGCTTAGACTGGTCCGTCCCACTACTCGTCTGCTCGACCCTTGCCCTTCTTGGCTGCTTGCCAGTGCCAACAGCGGGATATGTACCTGGGTCCTGGAGGTCATCAGCGCTGCTCTGAAGGAGGGCCGGATCCCCACCCCTTTGAAGGAGGCAGCGATCAGGCCAGTCCTGAAGGGGGCATCCCTGGACCCAGAAATAGCTGCCAATTATAGGCCAGTGGCTAATATCCCATTCCTGGGCAAGGTGCTCAAGCAGGTAGTGGCTGGACAGCTCCAGGCACGCTTGGAGGAAATTGGCCATCTAGACCCATGTCGATCTGGTTCAGATGCATTTATGGAACTGAAACTGCCTTGGTTGCCCTGTATGATGACCTGTGCAGGGAGAGGGGAGTGCATCCCTGTTGATTCTCTGGGACCTTTTGATACCATCGAGCATGGTATCCTGCTGGATAGGCTGGCCGGGTTGGGAGCAGGAGGCTCTGCATAGCAGTGTTCCACTCCTACTTGGCGGACCGATTCCAGAAGGTGGTGCTGGGGGATTGTGGCTCTGCACCATGGCAGCTTTGCCACGGAGTTGCACGGGGTTCCTTTTTATCCCCCATGCTTTTTAACATCTACAAGAAACCGCTGGGAAACATCTGAGTGTTTGGGGCTGATCAGTATGCTGTTGACACCCAGCTCTACCTCTCGTACATCTAATCCAGGTGAGGCACTGTCAGTCCTTAATTGGTGTGTGGCCAGGGTCTTGGGCTGGATGAGGACCAATAAACTGAGGCTTAATCCAGACAAGATGGAGGTCCTGTTGGTAGGTGGTTCAGCCTTCCAGGCAAGCGATTTTTGCCCTGTTCTGGACGGGGTTGCACTCCCCCTAAAGGACAGGGTGTGCAGCCCAGGAGTGCTCCTTGACCCTGACCTGTCTCTGGAGCACCAGGTGCTGGCAGTGGTGAGGAGCGCCTTCCTTCAGCTTCGGCTGATACATCAGCTGCGTCCTTACCTGGATGAGCGGTGCCTAGCAATGGTGACCCATGCTCTGGTAACCTCCTGTTTGGACTACTGCAGTGTACTCTATGTGGGGTTGCCCTTGCAGATGGTCCAGATACTTCAATTGGTCCAGAATAGAACTGCCAGGTTATTAATGGGGAGCTGCAGATACTCCCATATCACACTGGTCCTATATCATCTACACTGGCTGCCAATTGACATCACAGGGCCAATTTAAGGTGCTGGCAATGACCTATAAGGCCCTAAACAGCTTGGGGCCCGGATACCTGAAGGAGCGCCTTCTGCCCTATGTGCCGGCTCACCCCTTATGATCTGAGGCAGAGGTCCTTCTCCAGGAGCCCTCTTTGAAGGAAATTAGGAGGGTGGCTACCTGGAGGAGGGCCTTTTCGGCGGTGTCGCCCTAACTTTGGAACAAGGGAGGTTTGCCTGGTGTCATCGCTTTATTCTTTTCAGCATCAGGTATTATTATTATTATAATATTATTATAAAATAATAATATTATTTCCCCAATATTAACAGTTAATTGGTTTTACCTTTGATTTTATCATTATTTATTGAATGCACTGTGTTGTGTGTTGTTTGTTGTATATGGTTGCTTTGTTTTTGTTTTCTTGTTTTTTGTAAGCCTTCCAGAGACTTTAGTATTGGACAGCATATAAAAACTTTAAATAAATAAATGCCTCTTTAGAAGTAAATCAGCTTGCCACTAGATCACATTGATTTCAATAGAGGTCGCTTGTGGGAAAATCCACATGGGAAGGGGCTGTACCCACGAGCTTTGGGGTGGAAGGGAATGGGGTGCTGCTAGTCCCACTGGCTCCCCCACCCCATGGGGGTAGGGAAGGCAAGAGCAAGCTGTAGTACACTCTCCTTATTATTTTGTGTGAGGGGACAGGAGAAGCTGTTACTCGTTCCTCCCAGCACACACTACTCTTTCCCTAATTGAGCTAAAAACCAAGCACACACACAAGCGAAGGAACCTTAAAGGGCCCTTTCCTGCCCCCCCCTCCCAGCTCCTCTGATTTCACTGCGATTGCATTCGGGTGTGACACAAGCTCATTCACTAGCAGGTGCTCGGACTGTGATAATGTGTTTTGGGGAAATACCTCTGTTGTGTCCCCTTCAATCAAAAGCTTGCAGTGTAGACATCCCTAGGAGAGGAAGCTGACCCTGATGACTGGCTGAAGTACAGCAAGGCTTATTTCAAATGGCTCCTAAACGCGTCTGACAGTCGATCAGCGGAAGGAGACGCACCTTCAACGGGATGGCCTAAGGGTGCTTCTGTGAACTTGGCTCCCCAGCCGCCAGCAACTGTGGGAGAAATGCAAGCCGTGAACAGAGCTGGCCCAAGAAAGCCTCACATACCTTGCTTGCCTGCCTTTGTATTGTGCACCGGGTCAGGTGTTAATCTTGGCTTTGGGCATCCAAAGAAATGAGGCCTCAGTGGACCCTGTACGACTGGAGCCTCAGTGCTTTCTGGGCATCAGCGATTTTGTCCAGGATCTTCAAGGCTCTGGCAGATTCTCTGGGAAATGGAGCAGATATTGAGAGGGAGGGAGAGGGAGAGGCAAGTGAGCAATTTACGAAGAACAAAGAAAAGCCCGGCTGCATCAGGCTAAAGGCCTCTCCCATGGCGGCCTGTAGGAAGCCCAGGAGCAGAGCGGGAGTGCAAGAGCCCTGCCCTGGCCACACTCCCCAGCCAGTGGACCTGGGAAGTGATTCCCACCTCCATGTCTCGTATCCACGGACTTCCTTTAAGGATGCACAGGTCAGAATCCTTTGATAGGAATATCTCATTCAGTTCTCACATTCCCTGCCCCTGCGACCCTCTTGTCATGCAGTACTCACACGTGGATAGTCTATTTTTCTGGAAACCTGATGCTGAGCCAGGAACGCCCAGAGGAGGGCTTCCGGGCACAGGGGACGGGCTACAGCTCTGCTTTGTGCGTTCTGGATATGCAAGCATCTGCCAGGTCACCAGCAGCCTGCTGCTTCTCCTGCCCGTGGAAGGGGGTCCTCAAATCTTTTGGGTGGTGGGAAGATTTGGAGTGCAGGGAGGAAGCCTCATGGGCACACTCATCATAAACCGCCTGACATTCTGAGCATGGCCAGGCACAAAACATTCATTTGCCAGAAGCCAAACTGGTGAGACTTTTACATACACGGCAGAGATGTGGGTCTCAGCTCCAAAATACCACATCCCTCTTTCAAACCCAAACATGGTGCGAGGGGGAAGAACTCTACCTTGCAGCAGGCCAGACCATCTGTTAATATTTTTCTTTTTAAACTCCTAAAAAATACCCATATTGTGTTTTTATGAGTCTTAGTTGGGAAAAACGCCCCCCCCCCCCCACAGGAGGGACAAGGAGCTTGGGGGTGTCGAGAAAGGTTCCAACAGGTGCACCAAATCACATGGGCACCAGGTGGGAACTGAACTCATGATCTGAGTCAGCTTATGCCCCACCACCCAGCTGAGGCCAGAGGGGGAAGTGCAGGAAGACCATTCATGCGGGCCAAGGAAGCCTCCTTGCAGCAATAGGTCAAGGCAGTTCCAGTGGCCCCTGGGCCCCTAAAAGCTTCCTGAGGAACAGGAGGCCAAACCTGCACCCTCCCCAGGGATTTCTTGCTTGCTTGGCTCCTGGATGCCTCCTTGGAGATTCCTAGAACGAGAAAGCTGGGAGGGGCCCTGGAAGTCACCCAGTCTGCACCCTGCTCAGCCCAGGACGCAGCTGCCCCATCCCTGCAGGCGCCACTGGGCTCTGCTCCCGCATCCAAGCAAGCCGCCTTCCACTGGCAGGGACTCTTGCCAAGCACGGCTTCCCTGCACCGCAGCCCCACCCCTTGGAGTGCAAAGTACCTGGCTAGGATCCCCTCCATCTGTTCCTTGTTCCTCAGGCTCTTCCTCACGTACACGTTGTTCATTCCCAGGCTAGAAAATGCCCTGATAACCTGGGGTGGGTGGGGGGGGTTACCAAAGAGAGTGGTCAGCACAGAAGGTGCAGACCGCGACCCCCCCCCCCCCCCCCCGTTTGCCTCTCCAGTGCCCCCACCACTCACCTGTACGCGAACATCCTCACTGGAGTCCAGCTCCAGCATTTCCAGCAGGGCAAAGAAAACACCTTTATGGCGAATGCCAAGGACACCCTGGCAAGAGACAGAGGAGCAGCGTGTGGCTTGGCGGGGAGGGAGTACAAACTGGGGGCCGAAATGCGCCTGGGGGTCCTGCGCGTGCCGGCCCCCAGTACAGTGGCAAACTGAAGGACAGGTGCTCAGGGTGACAAGCCCCCCAGCATGCCCCCCACGGAGAGTCCAACACTGCAAGCAGCTGGGTGGGGAAATGCTTCCCCTCCCAGCCCTGCCAAGCTGCCGTGAAGATTTCAGCCAAGCTCAGAAGGAGCAGTGGCGGGCAGATGGCAGCAGCGCCCCTGCGAAGCCAAAATCGCTAGGGCCTCATCCTGGCAAACTTGTGGCTGTGCTGTACTGCTGGAAATGGTGCCATGTTTCATCTGGGCCCCATTTCATCGAAGGAGCATCATTCCTCCTGCTACTCAGGAAAATGAAATGTCCGAAGTAGAAGAGGATTATTCATCACAGAGTAATTCTGATCATAGATTCCAGGGGTTCCCAAGAGTGCTTGGGCCCAAATGCCTTTTCTGGAGAAGGCAGACGTGGCCACACATTCACAGTGCCGTGGCTACACCTGAACTCAGTTGCACGAGCCTGCCCATGAGAAAAATTAATGGAAAATGCATCGGTAGCTGTGACTGCGGTCAGCTTTGCTGAGTGTCTTGCTGTAGCGTCATGTGACTTGCACTGGCTTCCAGCTCATTTCTGGGCATGATTCAAGAGGCTGGTGGTTAAAGTCAGAAATGCTTCTGAAAGTGCTGCCTTGCAACTAGATCTGGCAGTGCCGGCCTTGTTTGGTTTCCTTTTGTCTTCACTGGGACACGTGAAGAAGCCTGCTCCGTAGAGGCAGCAGGGTTATGGGGCTCCTCCTCTTCAGGAAGCCCAGCACTGCTTAATATGGGCATTTAACTGGCCACTTTACTGAGTTTTTCTTCCTATTTTCTTTGCCGGAAAAAAAGTGCATCCTTTACACCGCGAGCCCTCCCTGCTGAAGGAATGGCTTCTATCAGCAGAATGGGGGGAGGGGATTCCTCTCCCCACTGCAGCCCATCTAAGTCTGCTCTGGGGTGTTGAGGGATCCTCTGGAGCAGATGCGAGAAGGATGCCAGGAAGGAAAAGTCCTCCTGTGCCAAGGATGTCCACTTGGAGGACACTCCCTTTCATCCAATACCTGCGGTGCCCATTTGAGGATTACGGGTGGACAGCGCAGGGCCATCCAGGTAGGCAACTTACCAAAGCAATCACAGCCTGCTTTCGGATCTCATCCCTATCATCCTTCAGCTGCCTGTGGAGATGAGGAGGACAGAAATATCGGGGGGCATGTCCCAAGGAGCAGCCCTGCTACTCTGCTGCCACAAAAACAATAATGCCACACCTTAGACAGGAGTACTGCATTTTGCCAGATGCATCTGTGGACTGCAGCCCACTTCCCCATCAGTTATTTTTAAGGTCAAGAGCTCCGGTGTGCTATGATTTCCTACTCTTTTGAAAAACCGTACTAAAGATCCTCCTCGCTTCAACCAAAGGGAAACCCTTCAGCTGTCTGTTTCCAGACCTCTCCAAGCTGGATAGCAGATGCCAGAGAATCAAGCAGCAAATCCGTACACGCTTCTATGGGAGAAATTAACAAACACACCCAGGATCAGGTTTATGAGGACATGTTTACATGAATATTGCTTCAGAAAAGCAGGAACAATATTCTGTTCACAGCTGCTATGGCACTCACCTTGAATCCATATCAGCAGCTGACTCCCAGCATTCCCCACTCAGCATGGCTGCCTGTGGAATGCTGGGAACTGAAGAACTTTCTTCTTCTCTGTGTAGGATGCACCCTTAAGGCACAATCCAGTGGACAAGCCTGTAGCCTCAGAGGTTATGCAGTGTGGGAGGGGCACATAAGCCAAGGCTGCCTCCATGCTCCTCCCATTTTGCAAAATTAGGTGGCCAATTTCATCAGTAGCAATGAGGCATTTTGGGGCGAGAGGGAAGGGCTGAGGTGCCACCAGGAAATGTGCTACCTTGGTGCCACCAGGACATGTGCTACCCAGACTGTAGGCACATGCCAGTTTCCTGCCAAGTGTTTCCACACACACACACACAATTGCTCAGAGTGGATGTTTACAGGGAATTAGAAGTAAAAGTGGCCAGTTAAAGGATGCTTGGCGGGTGGGGTGGGGAGTGAACTCTTTGGGGCTGCAATCCTAAACACATTCATTAGGGAGTGAGCCTAACTCAGCACAGTAAGCCTGGCCTCCAAAGAACCACAACTAGGATTGCATTGCAAAACCACACACAAACAGCTCTGTAAGAGGAAAGCAGGACTTGCCATCCAGTAAGCACAGTCAACCCAAAATGCCTGCTACAGATGCTCGGGTCATGGTACAGCGAGTTAATTTCAGCTTTCCCAGTTGGAAGTGCTACAGAATCCCACTTAACTTGTTTAACCAGAGACCACAGCAAATGATGGCTCTACCATACTTTAACAACCTCCCTGAACAATAAGACGGACACTGCTTAGGAAAGCAAACAGGGATTTCTGTGATCTTAGGAATGTGGGGCATGAAACCGCTGTTCAGATACCATAGAATAATACTGGGGTGTGGGGGTGAGCCCCCAAGGATGCCTGCAGCTATCCCACCATAACTGATGCTGCTCTACAGCCCCCCTGCTGCTCACACCTGGTGGCGAGGGAGAGACCTCCTGTGGTGTGATCCCTGCAGCTAGGATGAAGGTTCAAAGCTGCGGCCCCCTGGAAGGGCTGGCCATAGAAGCCTTTCCCACCCCACCATCACTGCCCTGATCTCAAAATACACGCACACCGAGAACATCCCACAATGAATATTGTCCCCTAAAGGTTTCCTGAAGGAAGGAAAGAAGCACAGCAGTCCTTGCATTTCCTTGCCACTTACTTCTCCACAATGTCCCAGACTCGCTTCTTCATCCTCAGTTCTTCCACAGCCAAGACAACCGACTGCCTTACCACCTGGGAGAAGGATGGGAGAGGCAGGCCTGGAAGTCAGAGGTAGGTCACCTGGCACTGTGTGACTGGATCACAGTGACCCTCTCTAACCTCGCAGCCTCCAAAAGGTTGGATGACCGTTCCTGGGATCCTTGGCCATGGGCCATGCTGAAAGGGGAGTCAGGTCTATTTCTTGGGAGGGGGACACCAGGTTGGGAACGGCTGTGAAGAAGGTATGGGCAGCCACCTCTTTGCATTCCCCAGAGATGGGTCGTGTATCTGCCCTGGATCCTAGCAGGACTGTACCTTAGATGAGCCTCAGGGCTCAAATGAACAGACATTTAACTGTGCTTACCACAAAATCAGCACTGAAAGGGCCTGCCTTTTTAGTGGAGCTGGGCCCAAACATTCTGGCTTGTCCTCCAGCCCCAGCAGTTGCTTCACCCAGGGGTGCTTTCCTTCCCGGCTGAGCTTTAGAGCTGACTGGCCTAATTCTATCACCTGCGATGAAAGCAAGTGTGCTGGCTCTTTCCTGCTGGGGTTCTGAGGCACAGCCTATTTCCCTTTGCCCAGAGCAGAGCACCTCTCTGCCCCAAGGTGTGCTGGAACAGCTGGTCCTCAGCAGGGTGAGCATCGGGGCGCTTCAAGGGAGCCTTCGTGGAAGGCCAGCGATTGCAGGGCATCTTGGGACCAGGCGACAGGGTTTCTTTAGAGCAGCCCTTCCCAACTGCCCAGCTCTCCAAGTGGGTTGGACCACAACTCCCAGCATTCCGGACCATTGGCCACAGCTTCTCAGACTGATGGGAGCTGAAGCCCCAAATACCTGGAAGGTACCCGGTTAGGGAGAGAGGGCTTTAGACTGTCTCAGCAAAGGATCTGGAATGAAGACCTTTGCACGGTTCTTTTAAAATCCACCGGGCCGTGAAGGGCAGATTCAGGATAGAGAAAGGGAAAGCACTCCTTCACACAGCACATGCTTGGACCATGGAGGCAGTTCCACAGGATACAGTGGTGGCCACCAATCTGGATGGTTTTAAAACAAAACTGAACAAAGTCTTGGAGAAGAAGACCAGATGGACCGTCTTTTCACATCTTAGGAAATAAGGCACAACACAACTTTTTTAAACTCTTAGAATTGCCTGTCAAGCCAAGCAAGAAGCAAAGCAAGTGCAGTCGCCGGGCAGCAACTGAGGGTGTCCATCCACACCTGCGGCAGAGCTGGAAGCAAGGGGCATCCTCGTCCCCACATGCTTTCCCCCCAGTTCCGGATGAGCTTAAGGGGGTCCTGCTCGCAGGGCAATCATCTCTGCTACCACCCCCAATAAAAGCTGCCTGAGCTACGAGCAGCCCTTTGCCTACGGTATCTGGGGAATTCTTGCTGTCACGTTCACATCCTGTTCAAAGTTGCCAACAGCTTCTTGGTGGAGCTGTGCCTTCAACAAGCTGCCCTTCAGGCAGAAATCTAGGAAATGAAACTTTCCCCCGGAACACACCAGAAAAAGATTCTCTTCATGCCTCACAAAGAAACAAGAAAAAGCATGCCCCATGCCCCAGTCCTGTCTTGCTTGCCTGGGTTTCATTTTTGCTCAGCATCTTCCATCCAGGCCATCTTCTCCTGGGCACTCGGCCGAAGCCTGTGTCTGGCTTGGAGCATGGCTTAGCCAGGAGCACTTGCCCCCTAAGGTCCAGCACCTGGCCGACGCAAGCAACCCAAGGGGCCGGCTGCTCAGGGGGCCCTTGCATGGCACAGAGGTGTGCAGTGTCTGTGCAAGAAGAGACTGGTGCAAGAGCCTCAAGCACCGACAGAGCCACTCCTTTTCAGCACCAGGTGAAAAATCTACCTGATCACCTGAGAAAGCCATTGCAGAACAGGAGTGGACATGGGGCTTCACTCATGGCAACAGTTCTTCCCTCGGACCTCAGACTGACAAGGGAGCCACTGCCCGTGGGCTTCTGGAGCACAATTTGGTTCAGTGAAATGCCAGAGGTGTGCCAAGATCACTGGCCTGCAAATTTTGGGAAATTATTGACCTCCGAGATAAAATGTGCTAATTCTTACATATTTCAATTAGATGAATTAGGAAACAGATGATAAAGGTGCTGGTTGGCTAAAGTTTTCAAGATATTTCACAATAAAGATTTATACCCAGGCGAGTATATTTGCCTACAAGGGAGGAAGGCGTGTGATTATCATGATGCCTTGTAACTTCTCAACAAAGTATGTTAGAACAATGAAAATGGTACCACATGGAAGTGTATAAATTTATTCACTTGGAGACTAATTTATTGTTCTTTCACAGCAAGGTACATTTGCTCCCAGCTCCTGCCAACCTTGCAGTTCGAAAGCATGCAAATGCCAGTAGATGAAAAGGTACCACTTCGGTGGGCAGGTAACAGCGCTCCGTGCACTTTGGTGTTTAGTCATGCCAGCCCCATGCGCACGGAGACTGTCTGCGGACAAACGCTGGCTCCCTCGGCTAGGAAACGGAGATGAGCACCGCCCCCTAGAGTCAGGCATGACTGGACGTTATGTCAAGGGGAAACCTTTACCTTTTACTTTTTTACATTTGTCTTGATCAGATCTACGCATCATACAGTTACATCTGGTGGCTTGTGAAAGTGTCATTGGCTAACATTTCCAAGGAACAGTTGTGTGATATTTTCCCTCAGAAACCAAGATGCCTCAAAACTGTGTAAACAACTCAGATAACTTCTGCTACATTTGTGTTGAGGTTACATATGCATTTCAAAAGTGCACTATGACAGCAGTGGTAAAAAAAAGCCATACCACCTATATTTTGGGTAGGTGGAACACGTGGAAAATTTGCTTAGGTCTTATAAAGCACTTGGTGCAAACATGTCACTGAAAATTAACTTCTTACACTCGCATTTAGACTATCTCCCTTTGAACTGTGGGGCAGTGAGTGATGAGCATGGGGAGAGATTCCACCCGGATATCACAGGCATGGAGAAAAGTTACCAAGGGAAATGGGGTCCATCATGCTTGTCAATTATTGCTGGAATCTCTCCAGGGATGATCCTACTGCAGTTCACAGGAGAAAGGCCAAAAAGCGCAGTTTAGATACCCAATAATTATGGAACCTTGTTGTTTAATCTGATGTTAGAGCTTGTCAGTTTTTCATGCAAAAAGCATAAAAATGATACATGAAAAACCAATAAATGAATGGAAAGTTATGTCATTGGCATCAATAAAAAAGATAGATTTATAATTAGTGGTGTGGCACATTCTCATTGCTATATCACGTTTTGCAGAAAAGTTATGGAGCATAATCGCACATCCCCTTCGTAATTTTGAATTATTTTGATGCGATTTTGACCTGAAGCTGAATCTTGGAAACTGGAGCCAATTAATACTCAATAATTTTCCTTTATTAGTGACCCAATTCTGGTAAAATTTAGCTACTTTCATTTCCAGGCCTTCCTCCTTGCAGACCAGTGCATCTTGCTGTAGGCCTGGGGAAAGGAAGGGGCAGTGGGACTTATAATGCTTCACAGGGAAAGGCTACTTAGCACATCCTTCACCCTCCTGGTGTGTTGGGCTGCCTATCCCATAATTTCCCTACAGTCCCACACATCTGGAGGGTGCCAGGTTGGGGAAGGCTGCTGACTCAGCAGAGCTGGCGAGTTGGAGGGGTGGCTCCTGCAAGCTCTCAGCCTCACCAGCAACGGCTCGTTGGATAACTTCATCAGGAGCATGTTAAATACGTCCTCTTCCATGCCTTCCTGCTGGATCGTCTCAAGCCCGATGGTGGCTAAAAGTTTTGCGGCGTCCACACGATGCTGGGTGGAAAGCGACCACAAGAGGATGTGAGCTGTCTGAGCAGAGACGTGCCCGGGTGGCATCCCACCCACCTCTCGGCCTGCTCTCTCACTAAGCCCCATCACTTCACGCAGTACAGGCCTTCCTTTCCTCTGCATCCGCAGCAACAGGGACAAACCATTTCGCATGCAGGGTGCATTCAGGCTGCTCAGGTCTAGGCAGACCGCCAGCTCCAAGGTAGTAGCCCTCCTCCAACTGCAAAGGTGCTGACCCCTCTAGGTGCAGCCATACAAGAGCAGGAGAAGGACGGCGGAGCCTGTTCGTTTGGCCGCCGACGTGCCATAGCACCACCTTGTGGTCGGTTAGTGGAATAGGTAGAAACGCAGAGAAGAACCCTTAACAAAAATGCTAATAAATCAAGGTTTAGTTAATAAATCCTCAGAACAACACATGCAGGCTTGTCCTCATGCCCAGAGGAACACATTTGGTAGCAAAAGGCACACAGAAATGAAAGAAGTCTGCAGGCCATTGTAGAACCAGGGTGTTAAACCTCAGGTTCATGAGCCATATCCGTTCCAATAGGATTCCCCCAGTGGCTGCACCAACCCCCCCAGGTCCCCTTCCTCTTCCCAGCCACTGATGGTTTGGTGCATTCCTGGCTTCTCAGAAGTTTTTCCCCCATTCTCAAAGGCATCTTCTGTAGCTTAGTTATGGGCAGGAAGCACTTGAAGCTAAATGATGTATGGGGAGGACATCCCTGTTTTCTTTGGCCTCACCTATCACTGGAATGTGGCCCATGAAAACTTTTCTGAGATATAATTCAGCCCTTGTGTAGAAAAAAGTTCTCCAACCTAGCGAGGAGAGGAGAGGAGAGGAAGTCTAGTTTGTTACCTCACAGCAGTGACCTACCTCTTCAACTTTTGGGATGTAAACTGTCAAATTCAAGCATGAAAAGAAAATTATGGGCAGGGGGGAAGTTGGGAAACTTCTAAATGCAAATCTACGGGCAAGCAGAATACGAGGAGAGAAATCCCTGCATGAATGAGACAGTGGCATAGGACAGCCTTCACAGAATAAAGTTTGCTTACCTCGTACATAGGAGAACGTTGAAGCTGATCTAGAATGCGCCGGATAACTACAGCATCCATTATCCCCATTTGCTTTACCAGCATGACTAAAGCCTACAGGAGGAAGAGGTTGATGGCAGGAGCATGAATTCAGAGGGGTGGGGGGAAGAGAGGACTGCATCTCAAGAACCCATGCAGGTAAACCATATTATGGCAAAATGGAAGCAGACTCGTGCAATCTACTCCAGTCCCAGAACTGAGTCATGGTTCTCTAATCCAGTCCTGACCGATATTGTCAAATCTCTCCTAATAAACTTCTGGAAAGGGAAATCCCAAAACTTCTTTTGACAACTTTTTTCATGGTCCAGTGCTTCCCATGCAGACATCTTTTACACCAGTAAAATGCCCTTCTGTCTTTTTAAAATCTTTTCCACTTGTATCTTTTGAAACAGTTTCTTTTTACCTTTTCTAAAAATCACAGTTCATGAATACACTTTTCTAGCTCTCATGGAAATGCAGAACATGTACAAATAATGAGTTATTAGAAAAGGTTAAGCAACCCCCTCCAGTAATTCTATGGATGATGATGATGATGATGATGATGATGATGATGATGATATAGCATTTCTCATTTGCAACACATCTCAAAAGCATTAAACAAACCAAAAAAGACAACATGCATCCACACACAACAGTATGTAGGGAGGCTGGTTCAAAGAGGGCTTGTGGCTGGATGATCCATTCAGACATCCCCCGTGGCTTGCCCAGTGCCATCGGTGCCAAGCCTTTCGCTCACCATTTGGCAAAGCCACAGCATAGCTCTGAGCCAGTGCTCCTGGGCAGGGCCATGAGGAGCCGAGGAGCCTGGGAGGCCACTGTGTACTGAGTCAGGCCAGGCTTTCTGGCTAGCGTTTCTCCTGCCCTACCCAGAGATGCCAGGGATCAAATTGGGACCTTCTGCATGCCAAGCATAGGCTGTGCCATTGAGTTGCAGCCCCTTTGTTATAATTCAGGGTAGCCACTAGGGTGGCCACGTGCCTGGCTTCACAGGCAACAGTCCTCCCTGGAAGGCTGCCGAAAGACCAGTTTCAGGGCACAGAGCCGTGCGAAGAGAAAGAGTCAGCAAGGCGAGCACCCACAGTTGGTGCCCAAATGCCAGGCTGAGCAGGCACGGGGCTCACCCAGCCAGCATCTTCCCCACTATGGTGAGAAGACTTTTCTTACCATTACAGTCATTGTTGGAGCTTTTCCAGCCTAGGGTGGAGGTGCCAGGGATTGAACCTGGGCCCTACTGCATGCACAACAGAGGCGCTCCCTGAGCCAGGGCCTCCCCCCTTGCGTGCTGCACATTTCTCCACTCTCTCGAGCTCTACTGCTAGCAAAGGGACTAAAACAGTGGTGGCGAACCTATGGGACGTGTGCCACAGCGGGCACGCAGAGCCCTCCCTGGCAGCACACGAGCCGAATCGCCCCAGCATCGCCCCAGCAGCCATGCATCGGATCACAGTGCACACAGGGGCCATGCGCATGTCCGGAAAGGAGTAGTGGTGCCACGTGATGATGTCACAAGCCGTGACACACCAGCCAAGACTCATCCGAACTTTCGCAGGGCTGGACAGCACACTGCCAAGGATATGTATAAAGATATCTGCTTGGATTGGCTGTTTCAAGGTTTTATTGTACTGTTGGCACTTTGCGATAAATAAGTGGGCTTTCGGTTGCAGTTTGCACACTTAGTCTCAAAAAGGTTCACCAACACTGGATTGGGGTTAGAAAAACGAGGTGTCCTGGCCTGATTTTGATGGTTGGAATGTATTCAGAATGGGCAGAAGTGATGAGCTGTGCAGGAAAAGCTACTCAAGGGAGGCTTCGTCAAAATTGCATTATTTTCAATGGAAATTTACCCATTATTAGGGTTAGGGGTGTGCACCAGGGTAGTGTTATAGTTAGAAAAATGAGGTGTCCTGGCCTGATTTTGATGGTCTCACTGTGTTTGAAATGGGCAGAAGTGATGAGCTGTGCAGGAAAAGCTACTCAAGGGAGGCTTCTTCAAAATTGCATTATTTTCAATGGAGCCTTAGCCTTATATTAGGGTTAGGGGTGTGCAGCAGGGTAGGGTTAGGCTTTGAAAAACAAGGTGTCCTGCCGTGATTTTGATGGTTGGAATGTGTTTAGACAGGGCAGAAAGGATGAGCTGTGCAGAAAAAGCTACTCAAGGAAGGCTTTTTCAAAATTGCATTATTTTCAAAGGAACTTTATTATTATTTTTGAATAAGTTTTATTCTTAATAAACCTAACAAAAAAGAAACTAAAAAAAATCAATCATTGAGAACATCGGACCTGCTGGGTCAGCTCCCCACATTTTTTCTTTTTATGTTAAACTATAAACATATTTGAATCTATACATAGTCCTGTTTCTCTAGCCAATGATAAAAAAAATCCGAGGTTTGATAGAAGTCTGTATCTTCTTTCTCCTTCAGAGACAAAGTCAATCTGTCCATTTCTGCACAGTCCAAGATCTTTTTTAGAATCAGTTCGTCGGTTGGTGGCTCTTCATTCTTCCAGTGTCGGGCAAATGCAATCCTTGCCGCCGTAGTTACATGTAGAGTCCAATACATTGCTCGTTTGTTAAGATCATCAAGTGTAATGCCTAACAAGAAAACTTCAGGTTTAAATGTTAGAGGATTTTGTAACATTTCCTCAAGCCATTTGTGTATTTTAATCCAATACTTGTTTGCCTTATCACAGGTCCACCACATATGATAAAAATTACATTAAAAAAGTTTTATGTTTACATTTCCAACATCCATTTGACGTTGCTAAATCTTAGCTAACCTATTTGGCAACAAATACCATCTATAAAACATTTTATACAGGTTTTCTTTGTATGACGTTGCTAATGTTACTTTAATATTTCTTTCCCACAGCTTTTGCCATTTCTCTAATTCAATATTATACCCAAAATTTTGTGCCCACATTATCATGGTTTCGTTAACCTGTTCATCTTCCATTCTCCTATTTAGTAGAAGATTATACAATCTTTTAATCATTTTTTCATCTGATTTGAAAATCACATGGTCAAATGCTGTTAACTCCTTATAGAAGCCCCACATTCTATAGTCTTTAGCATATCTTGATTGCATCTGAACCTTGTGCCACCAAGAAATATTAATTCCTGTTCTTGTATTTCTTGATTCAATTTCAATCCTCCATCATTATCCAAAATATCATCATATCTCACAATCGTATCAAAAGTCAATGCATTTGGATATGCAAGAGCTTCCATAGGTGAGAGCCATCTTGGTAATTTAGTATACAGTTTTATATTTAACTTTTCCCACACTGACATTAATGATTTCCTAATATAATGATTTAAAAAACATCCATGTGCCTTACACTTCTCATACCACATATAGACGTGCCAACCCATTTCCAAGTCGTGCCCTTCAAGATACAGGATTCTCTTGTTTCTTAAAGTTACCCATTCTTTTAGCCACATTAAGACAGAAGCTTGATAATACAACATCCAACTGGGAAGACCAAAACTCTCGTTCCCTTTAGCCTCCTGTAGCATTTTTAATTTAATCCTTGGTTTCTTCTTTTTCCATACAAATCTCAAAATTTGGGTATTTAGATCATCAAAACAATTTTATCAATTTTTATGGGAATCTTTTGGAATAAAAACAAAAGCTTTGGTAATATATTCATTTTAACTAGGGCTATTCTTCCCAACAAGGAGAATTGCAAGTTAGCCCATTTTTCCAAGTCACTCTTAATTTCCTTAAATAGTTTATCATAATTGTCTTCTTTCAATGTAGTGCACTTAGCTATAAGAAAAATTCCCAAATATTTAACCTTTTTAACAATTTGAAGATCTACTTGTTCCACCTGATTTTTTCTCTGCTCCAGTGTAAGATTTTTTACTAACAATTTCGTCTTATCTCTGTTTATTTTCATCCCAGCAACATCGCCCTATTCTTCAATCCTTTGTAGAAGTTTAGAATTATTACCAAGGGTTCCTCAATTATAAAAACTAAGTCGTCTGCAAATGCTTGCAATTTATAGCTTTCATCTCTGATTCTAGTGCCTTGAATAACCATATCATCTCTAATATTTCTTTTTAACACTTCTAAGATCAATATAAACAGCAGTGGTGATAAAGGGCATCCTTGTCTTGTGCCCTTTTGTATGTCTATAGTGTTTGTAAATTTCCCATTAATTATAATCCTAGCAGACTGTTTTTGATAGATGTTTAATATCACATAAATAAATTTTTCACCAAACTGCATAGGAACTAGTTGTTGCTTCATAAATTGCCAATTAACATTGTCAAAGGCCTTCTGTTGGTCCATGAATAACAGCACCATTGAGTTTTCAGAATGTACCTTATAATACTCTAAAATGTCCAAGATAATTGTCATATTAGTCCTCATTTGTCTTTTAGATTAAAAAAAAACATTTTGGTCTGGATGTATAAAGTGTGTTAAGTACTTCTTTAGTCTTTCTGCCATTACAGAGGCAAAGATTTTGTAATCCACACTTAATAGTGATATAGGTCTGTAGTTTTGAATCTATGTCAAATCCGTGTCTTCTTTCAGTATTAATGTAATATTTGCCTGTGTCTGAGTATTTGGTATTTTAGCATCTAGCAATGCTGCATTACATATATCCTTAAGAGGCATAGACAAGATTCCTTCAAAAGTTTTAAAGAACTCTGCTGGTAACCCGTTTGGGCCTGGAGTTTTGTCATTTTTTTGTCTCTTAATTGCCTCAATTACTTCTATCTGTTACTTCTTCATTTAATATTTTTTGATATTTTTCCAACAGCTTTGGTAAATTTCCCTTTCGGATATACTCATTAACTTTCTCAGTTGAGGTCTCTTTATTCTGGTACAGCTTTGCAAAGAAGTCTTCCGCTATTTTCCTGATATGTGTACTTTGTACTTGCAATCGTCCTTCTCCATCCTTCAGTTTACATATTAGTCTCTTCTTTCTTTCTTTCTTTCTTTCTTTCTTTCTTTCTTTCTTTCATTCATTCATTCTTTACTTTACTTTATAAGCTAACCATCTCCCTGGTTTATTAGCATTTTTGAAAAAAAAATTCATTTGCTTAG